TTCCCAGTCGCTGCTGTGGCCGCGGGCAGGTGGGGCTACGGGTAAGTTCTCGGGCCGGCGGAGGGGCGTACCCCTGTTGGCGTGCAGCCCCTTCTCCAAGACCCCCTGTCCCAATCCCTCCGAGAAGAGGGGACCCCCTTGGATCTCCGCTGTCCAGGCCTCGCAGCGGATCGCGGGCAGGACCCCAGTCCTCGGCTCTGGAGTGTGCCTGCGCGGGCGGCGTGGGCGGGCAGTGCTTCCCCTCCGCGGGGACTGGAGTCCGGGAAGGGGGAGGCGAGAGACACCGGCCCCAGTGACACCCCCACAACCTTGAAAGTTCGTGTTGCGCGCCGCCCAGGGCCAGGTGCCTTCAGGTCTTCACTCTCCCCGGGCCAGGTGCCTTCAGTTCTTCACCATCCGCGCAGCAACCACAGGTGACCATCGTCGTCTTCCTCTTACAGGTGAAGAAACCAAGACGCAGAGAGACCAAGCCCTTTCCCTTGGGTCACACAACCACAGAAGGCAGAGCCAGAACTCACAACCAGGTCTGTGTCCCCTAAGTCCTCGGTTGCATCGTCCCTTCCCCGCCGCCCTCCCGGGAGACTGTGGGAGAGAAGTAGGGACAGGGGCAGTGTTGGGTGTCCCGGGAGAAGGCTGCAGTGAGCGGGCCCGGCCATCCCTTAAGGAGGAGCCCCAGGGCAGCAAAGTTTTCCCTGGAAACACTTTAAAAACACCCACCTCTTGGAGACAGAGATACTGAGGAACAAGAGTGTTGAGGCCAGGGTGAGCCAAGACAGGGGAGAGCAGTTCCTCATTGGAACCCCCTCTAGGAACGTTCTCCCAACCACCTTTACCAGTGCTGGGTGTGGGGGCTCTTGCAGGCTCAGCTAGTGACTTGGCCTGTCTATGCCTCAGTTTCTGCATCTGTCCTCTGGGGTTAAGCATGTGCCTGCCTCACAGGATTGCTGAGAAGATGACATGAGATGCTTGGTGTACCCCTGGCACCAGGTTACTACCAAAAGTTCATGGTTCCCGTACTGCACCCTCCCTCCCGCCCCTCTGAGAGTACTTCTCTGTCCGGGGCACCTTTAACTTCAGGTTGTTCAGCGCTGTCTGAGATCTGCAGGATTTCCGGACAGCCCCACCAGCAACTAGGAGGTGCTTGAGTAAGACCGAGGTGGGGGGGGGCAGGCAACTTCTCTGGCTCTGACTCCCCAGAGGGAAAGGCTGATAAGGTCAGGGTTTTGAAAATCTCTGGGCTGAGGCTTGCTTGCACAAGGCCCAGAGCTGCTCCGTGGCCCTCTGCCCTCCCTGCTCCTGGCTTAGCAAGAAGGAGGGAGCCAGAGCGTTCTTGTCCCAGACTTGATCATTTCCTAGTCACTGGGCCCCGGGAGCTGTCATCCACCACCCCCTCTCTGCTTCCCTTGCCCACAGTCTAGGCCAGCAGCAAGTTCTAACCCAAAGCATATCCTGAATCCGGCCACTCCTCTACCCACTACTTCCACCCCGAGTCCACGCCCCAGCGTCTCTTGCCTCATCATCCTTGACCCCTCACTCCCACCCAAATCTCCAGCATCACCTGCCAAGCCCTCTCTGTGATCAGGCCCTATGCGATTATTCTTGATTCTTCCCTCTGGCCACTTTCCTGTCCACTCCTGTCCCTAGCCACCTCCTCCTAAGTTCTCTACTCTCTCAGGGGCTGTGTATGCTGCATATGCTCTTCCTGTTCACGGGAATGCTCTTCTCTGCAACCTGTGACATACTCCCTTATAATTCAGGAGACACCATAAATGTTGTGTTGTCCCCAATCACCCCCTCTCCTTTTCCCTTTCCCACAGTCTCGGCCAGCAGCAAGTTCTAACTTAAGGAGACCCCGCCTGCTCCCTGGCCCCTTACTCTGGCTGGCTAGCTTGCTTCCCAGTGCTTAGCTGGGGGTGTGGTCTGTCTCGTATGTTTCCTTTCTTCCTTGTCTCCCCAGGTAACATGTCAGCCTACCGGGATTCCTGACCTTGCCTTTGCCTCTTCACCTTGGATTTCCCAGAACCTGAGAAATCAGATGGATCACTTGAGGCACCTAGAAAAGACTCAGATATTTTTGTATAGTTGCAGGCAGTGTGTCAGCCATCAGTCTATTTTTCTTCTCAATGCTTGACAGCATTTTTTCTGCCCATTTCTGTAGAGACCTCAGAATTTTTCCTCCCAAGAGCCCACTGCCTTCCTCCGCTTTTCCCTAAAGTAGGGCTTGAGAACCACTTCCAGGTTTTAGCCATAATATTCAACTTAGCTATAAATGTGGTTATCCATATTGTGCTTGTTTTTGGCTATCAAATGACTTCTGGGAGATACAGTTTCCTAACTGATGTATGCAAGTCAAGAGTGGGATCATTTTGAAGGCACTTACCTCTTGTGACCAGGTGGCTATTTAGAAAAATCATCCCCAGGAATGTGTGCACATTTCCCTGCAGCTCTGCAAGCATTGGGTTTTATCCTTTTTATGTTTTGGCTAGTTTAATGGAGAAGGGTATGGTAGTTTTAAATTTTCTGTTGCTTGACTTGCTGAAGCTGAGTGTTTCTCTGCGTATGTGCTGGTTCTAGTTCCTATCTTACAAAGGAAGGAAATCTCCAGGGCACCTTAATTCTTCCTTTCACCTCCTCTTGTGCTGGTGGTTCCACTTGAGCCCCTCCCGTGAGAGCAGGTTGAAGGTCCCAGGGGGCTAGTATGGGACCACACACTTTCAGTGCAAAGCTGAACTCTGCTGGCTGCAGAAGCTGCTCTGCCAGTCAACCAGCGAGAAACTCCGAGAGTCCCTTGCACCCTCAGCTTGGAACTGTGGGGAGAGAAGTAACTTTTTTAAAAAGTTTTTGTGAAAGTTTATTTCAAAATAATTTTTTAGAATTAGACCAGGCATGGTGGCTCATGCCTGTAATTCCAGCACTTTGGGAGGTTGAGGCAGATGGATCACTTGAGGTCTGGAGTTTGAGACCAGCTTAGCTAATATACCCAAACCCCATCTCTACTAAAAATACAAAAAAAAAGTAGCTGAACATGGTGGTGGGCACCTATAATCCTAGCTACTCAGGAGGCTGAGACAGGAGAATTGCGTGAACCTGGGAGACAGAGGTTGCAGTGAGCTGAGATCACACCACGGCATTCCAGCCTGGGCAAAAGAATGAGACTCTGTCTCAGATTTTAATATATATATAGAGAGAGAGAGGTTCCATAGAGGGATCTGGCACAATGGCTCGCAACTGTAATCCCAACACCATGGGAGGCTGAGGCAGGAGGATCACATGAACTCAGGAGGTTGAGACCAGCCTGGACAACATAGTGAGACGCCCCCTTTCTGTAAAAATAGGTTTGGACATGGCAGTGTGTGCCTATAGTCCCAGCTACTCAGGAGGCTGAAGTGGGAGTATCCCTTGAGCCTAGAAGTTTGAGGCTGCAGTGAGCTCTAATTGCACCACTGTATTCTAGCCAGGGTGACAGAGTAAGACCCTCAACTCCAAAACAAACAGGGTGTGCAAGGTTATTCACTGAAGCATTGGGGTAGGAGGAGATTGGGAACAACCTTAAGTGTCCATCACTAGTGGGATTAAACTCGTTCCTACACGGGACTCCTGTGCAGCCGTGACCAGGCGTGCACCTCATGCACGATGCACTGGCATAGAACCACCTCTGAGATACTGTGTTAGTCTTCTGCGGCTGCTCTAACAAATGGCCGCAAGCTTGGTGGCTTCAGATGACACACATTTATGTTGCAGTTCTGGAGGTCAAAAGTCCACATCCATCTCGGTAGGCTCAAGGCAAGGTGTAGGCAGGGCTGTGTTGCTGCTGCAGGCTCGGGGGAGAATCTGTTTGCTTTCCCTCCCAACTTCTAGAGGGGCCCACATGCCTTGGATTGAGGCCCCATCCTCCATCTTTAAAGCATCGAATCTTCAGATCTTTCTGACTCCAGCCCCTGCTTCTGTCCTCACATCTCTTCTCCTGCCTCCATTTATCAAAGACCACTCTGATGACATTGGGTCCCCTGGATTAATCCAGTATCATTTCCTCCAACTTAAGAGGGGCAACGTCATCATATCTGCAAAATCCTTTTTGGTACGTAAAGTAATATACAAGTTCAGGGATTAGGGCATGTGAGTCTCTGAGGGGGAGCATTATTTTGCCTACCACACCCTAAAGGGAAATAAGATTCAGAGCAGTACGTGGGTTCACTTTTGTTTACGGAAAAAAAAAAAGGTTGGGGAGAGTATATACTCATGTGCTTGTGAGAGCATAGAATACTCCAGAAGGTGATGTAGGAAATGGGTCAGAGCGGCCGCTTCTAGGAAGGAGAATGGGTAGAGGGGAGACTGACTTGTCATAGAATATCTTTTTGTATAATTTAAATTTTTTACTACATGCGTAGATCATCTACGTTAGAAATAATGTTTTAAAGTAACACCACCTCATTGTAAAAGTTCACGCCTCCCAGAGCAGGGAAGGAAAACCCCACACCCAGATCACTCTCTTTTCTTCCAAAAATAACCTCTGCGAAGACTGATCCTTACAGACCAAAAAAAAAAAAGGGTCTGTATTTCTTTTGATGTAGATGGGGTCATCCTGTAGACTCTGCCGTAATGTGACTCCACTGCTTGCTCTGTGGCCAGCATCTTACCACATCCACATGTGAATGCCCCACAGCACTAGCAGCTCCGCTGCTCGCAGGTGCATTCGCTGACGTAGCTGGTGGCGGATGTTCAGAAGATTTTGCTGCTTTACAGAGCAACTCCAACACTGTAAACACTGTAATGTCTGTCTCTTTTTAATTGGAGTGAAATTCACATAACATACAGTTAACCATTTTAAAGTGAATAATTCAGCGGCATTTAGTATGTGTCACAGTGTGCAACCATCACCTCTATCAGAACATTTTCATTGTTTTTATTAAATTTAATAATACATCATTTTACTTTTTAAAAAATACCTTGTTAGCTTCACAGAAGATTTTCATCACCACAAACGGAAACCCCCTGATCCATGAAGCAGTCACTCTCCATTCTTCCCTGCCCTCAGCCCCTGGAAGCCACCGATCTGCTTTCTGTCATAGAATTTGCCTGTTCTGGACATTTCGTATCAATGGAATCCTACAATATGTGACATTTTATGTCTGGCTTTTTTCACTTAGCGTGGTGTATTTGAGGTTCATCTACATTGTAGTGTCAGTGCTTTATTTCTTTTTATTTATTTATTTATTTATTTTGAGATGGAGTCTTGTTCTGTCACCTAGGCTGGAGAGCAGTGGTGTGATCTTGGCTTACTGCAATCGCCGTCTCCCTGGTTCAAGCCATTCTCCTGCCTCAGCTTCCCAAGTAGCTGGGATTACAGGTGCCCGCCACCATGCCCAGCTAATTTTTGTATTTTTAGTAGAGACGCGGTTTCACCATGTTGGCCAGGCTGGTCTCGAACTCCTGACCTCAGGTGATCTACCCACCTCGGCCTCCCAAAGTGCTGGGATTACAAGTGTGAGCCACCCCGCCCTGCTGCTTCATTTCTTTTTACAGCTGAATAACGTTCCATTGTGTGGATAGACCCACTTTGTTGATCCTTTCATCCTTTGATGGACAAGTGAGTCATTTCCACCTTTTGGCTATTGAGAATAATGCTGTGAAAGGCTATGAACTTTCACGTACAAATACGCGTTGGTGTGAGTCCCTGTTTCAGCTCATTTTGTTCTATGTTCAGGATGTATGCCCTCCTACATACACTTTGAACTTTACGCTACTTTCAGACACAGTTTAAACTAACTTAAAACTAATTTGTAAGAAAGGTTTGCAGTGCACATACCGAGGTAGATGGCAGCAGGATGACAGATCTGGACAACTGTCTTCTTATTTTTCAGATCCAGAAGCAACAGGGACATGGCCACCTGGGACGAAAAGGTAAATGGATTTTGTGCTCTTGCAGCATTAGAGGATATCCCAGCCTTGAGACAATAACTCTGTTTGGTGTTTCAGACGGGAGAGGGAGAACACACCTGTTCAGGTGTTTCCATTACACTGAAATACTTAAAATCACAATGACGAAGAGCTGGGAAAGGATCGGACAAAATCTCCAAATACCCTGATCATCCACATCAGACCATTTGAATCCCAGCCCTTCATAACTGTGTGCATGTTAATAACTATGTGTCCTTCAGTTCCCTGAGCCTCAGTTTCCTTATCTGGAAAATAGTGAACAGATTATTTACCACCACTGCCCCTGAAGGATTGTCGGGAAGATTTGAAAAGACAATGGTCTCAGAATGCTAGGCAAGTGCTGAGCCCACACAGGGCTTTCCCTTAGTGCCCATTTTACAGGTAATAACACTTGGCCACAGAGACGTAAGGTCACTTCTCAAGATCACACAGCTAGATAGTGTCTAATGGGATTTCAGGCCAGGCACAGTGGCTCATGCCTATAATCCCAGCAGTTTGGGAGGCCAAGATGGGTAGATCACTTGAGATCAGGAGTTCCAGAACATGGTGAAACTCCATGTTTACTAATAATACAAAAATTAGCCAGGCATGGTAACACATACCTGTAATCCCAGCTACTCAGGAGGCTGAGGCAGGAGAACCACTTGAACCTGGGAGGCAGAGGTTGCAGTGAGCTGAGATTGCACCATTGCACTCCATCCTGGGTGACAAGAGCAAAACTCCATCTCCAAAAAAAAAAAAAAAAAAGAAATTGAGATTTCAACCTGGCCTGACTCCAGAGGAAATGCTTTCCTCCCATATCTTATGGCCATTTCCAGTAGAAAATAGACTGTGTCTTTAATATCTGGGATACAGATTGGGTTTGGGGGCACTGGTGGTGAAGACTGGGGGCAAGGTAGAAACGAAGTGTTGATTCCACACCAGCTGCTCACCTCGAGGTTCTGGGGGCCTGGACAAGCCAAGCTGGCAAGGGCAGAGCAGGAAGCTCAGGGCAGCAGCAGGGTGAGTGGGGCAGAGTCTGAGAAGCAAATGTGAGCATCAGAAGGACCACAGGATGATGATGATGGTGATTGTGTATTTCATCAAATTGATGACCCTGGTAACTGTGTAAGAGTTAGGAGCCACAGGAGCTCCAGGTACCCTTAATAAGAAAGTCAGCATGGAAGTTAAGTGGGAACTGCTGATGCTTTTCCTTCATTTGTCGTTCCCTATTAAATTAGACAAACCAAAAAGAACATTCAGAAACGCTTCATGATGATTAGACTGTGGTGAAATCAGCTCATTCGTACATAGCACGGGGGACTGGGTCAACCCATGTCACTGCTCTAGAAACAAAATTTGACAGTGTGTATCAAGAATACTGAAGATACCCATAATCAAGCCTGGTCATCTCGCCTATGAAAAAAAAACAAAAGTATAATTTATGGCACCACGTTTCTCGGCACATGAGGCAACGCTGTCTGTAGATGCGCCTTATTTTACGTAACATGAAGAGAAGCAAAGCAAGCATGTGCTGCCATTTACTGTGATAAAAACTAACACAAGGCTGAAACCGATCAATTGTCAGGCCCATCCAGATTTCAGAGACGTTAAAATGTGATAAACGTGGTCTTAGAATTGGATTTAAAGCCATAAAACCATGCAGAATGGATAAAAACCATGCAAAATGCAATAATGAGACCATTTGACTCCTTGGTAAGTTTTCTGGCCTCTGAATAGTGTGAATTTAATGCATATAGTGGTAAAAAAAATAAGATACAAAATTGTTTGCTGTCTTTTTTCTAGGAGACAGGGCCTGGCTCTGTCTCCCAGGCTAGAGGGCAGTGGCACAATTTTGACTCACTGCAACCTCCACCTCTGGGTTCAAACCCTTCTTGGGCCTCAGCTACCCGAGAAACTGGGACTACAGGCATGCACCATCATCCCCAGCTAATTTTTTTGTAATTTTGGTAGCGACAGGGTTTCTCCATGTTGACCAGGCTGGTCTCAAACTCCTGGCCTCAAGTGATCCACCTGCCTCAGCTTCCCAAAGTACTGAGATTACAGGCATGAGCCACCGCACCTGGCCTACTGTCTTTGATTATGATCATAAAAGATATAGACAGATGGGAGAGAAAGAGGTAGACAGGTAGATGACACCTAAGTTTGGTGAGCTGAGATTGTTATGAATCTATTTCCCTTTCTTTTGTTCCTCTTTTCACAATACCGTAGTAATACTCAGAGAAATAGATCAAGGCTAAAGGTCTGCTCATGGGGTAAATGGCAGCAGGTCAAGCTGGGGGTGTGCATTTGAGTCTGGGGGTTGCAGGGATGAGTTGGGGGGTGAGGACCTTGTCAGAAGCCCATACCAGGGCATAGAGACAGCAAGGGAGATAAGGATTGAAATGCAGAACCAGGGACTCACCTGAAGGAACTCCCAGGGCCTGGAGCCTGCTTGTCATCACACCGAGGCTAGCCTGGGAGGGCGTTGTCAGGAGGGCATTGTTGGGGAACTGGGGACAGGGCCAGGACCACTTGTGGCAAATAAGCCTCTTACTGGTTTAAAGAACATGTTCCTTTTCATGATCTGCCCTTATGGAATTAATTGTTTTGGAAAAAGTCATCTCAATGAGATTACTTCAGAGCTTTTTGAGCGTCAGCTCTCCTAGTTCCTGAGAGGAAAACAGCGTGTTGGAAGAGAAACTGGTGGGGTTTGTAGCCTTGTGCAGACCTGGCTTGCAGTGCTGCGGAGCTAGGCTCACCTGACCTCCTCAGAGCCCCTTGCTGCCCCTCCCACCTCTCAGAGCCTCAGTTTTCTTCTTTTGTAAAATGGGAACGATCACATACCTCACAGAGTTGAGGTGAGGGTTAAACAAGATTGCGTGTGGAAAGCACTCAGCCGGGTGCCCAGCTCCAGCCTGCACTGAAGACATGGGAGCTGCTGGCTCTGTCATGAGGATGGACTGGCTTTTCGGCCATCAGCTGACCTTGTTCCTCAGCGCAGGGTACTGCTCTCAGCAGCCACTTCTGGGGAACCTGAGAGCCAGGTGTGTGTAGAACTCCCTGCAGCTCCTGGGCTCATTTCTCATGAGGCGTGCACAGGCCCCAGGTGCAGCTGGGCTTCCTCACCCACCTGTGCGGCACACAGACCACCCCAGCACCCAGCCCACACCCAGAGGGGTTGAATTGGAAGCTCTGAGCCCGGGACCCAGGTTTCAAGGTGCCTTAAAGCTGCCAGGTGATTCCAACATGCAGCCTGGCCTGGGGACCCCTCCCTCTGCAGGGAGGAAAGAGGGGTAGGCTGAGCACTGTGTCCTGTGGTTTCCATGGCCAAAGCATCACTAGACATTGGCTCAGGGGACCTAGTCACATGGGTGGCAGCTCTACATTTCTACCTGGATAACTTTTTCTTTTTTCTTTCTACACATTTATAAAACAAATAGCACAGTCCCTGCTTCTGGATGACATGACTGATGTCACAGGTTTGGACCAGACTCCCCTCTCAGTCATTCCCAGGGAAATAGGCAGAGCATGTCCCGGCAAAACTGTGTCTCTAAACTCAACCCATTGGTGGCTCCTGAAATCCATTGAGTGAGCTACAATCAACCTTTTAAGAAATGAAATAGGTCCGGGCACGGTGGCTCACACCTGTAATCCCAGCACTTTGGGAGGCCAAGGTGGGTGGATCACTTCTGCTCTTGAAGATCAGGAGTTTGAGACCAGCCTGAGTAACATGGAGAAACTCCATCTCTACTAAAAATACGAAAAATTAGCCAGGTATGGTGCAAACCTGTAGTCCCAGCTATTGCTGGGGCTGAGGTAGGAGGGTCTCTTGAGCCCAGGAGGTCGAGGCTACAGTGAGTCCTAATCATGCCACTGCCCTCCTGCCTACGTGGCAGAGTGAGACCCTGCCACCAAAAAAAAAAAAAAAAAAGAAATAGAATGAAATGGAAAATAAGAGCGCCTCCCCTACTAACCGTAGTGCTGGTTATAGAATGCTTGTACACAAGGCAGTGTGTACTGAGAGGCAGGGCATGGAACATGATTTCTTACTGAGAAGCACTGCTCCAAAATCCCTTCCCAGCATGGGGCTTTTCCAGCTGTGAGCAGGGTACAGGGCTGGGCAGTGTTCATGAAGGGTCCCACGGCAGGAGCGGGTGCTGGCCTGGGCAGCCTGAGTTGGAATCCGAGCTGTGCTTCTTGCTGGCTGTGTGACCTGGGGCAAGTCACTGGCCTCTCTGTTCTCAGTTTCCTCATCCATAAACAGAGACATTGCAGTCCCTACCTCATGGGCTTGTTGCGGTGTGTGAGGAAGGTCTTTGCACAGAACTCAGAAAATATTAAACGGGTGTTCCGGGGATAGTTGGAATGAGTACAGTTCCACTCCTGTAAATATCCCCCGTCTCATTTCTGTGCAGCCTCGCCATCATCTCGCCAGGTTGGCCGGCTCACCTACCAAGTCAGGAGGGTTCCTAACCCTATAGAAAAAGGAGAGAGAGTTGGGGACCATGGCTTTAGGGGGACCTGGGCCACCAGTTAAACTCCTCAGCCTGTAAGCAGCCCTCCTGCCAGAGCTAAAGGTCTGTGACGGAGCTGTCACGGTGGTGGTTTTCATCAACCTCAGACTTCCTCCCCGCCCTAGAGAAGGAAAAGCTTCTACGCTTATTTAAAGACTTCCCTGATTTTAAAAATAGGCCTTCCTCAGAACACGGATCCCCTGAGGCAGGAGGGGAGAAGTGCTGGGGCAGGTGAGCCTGCTGCCTGGAGTCCTCTTGCCTCCCCCAGAGAAGAGGTTTGCTCAGGGGTTTCTTTCCACTATCCCGGAGGAGGCACGTTCAGCAGGAGCCTGTGGTCTGCCAGGCGCGGAGGTCATGCTGTGAATCGCTGGGCCCCATGATAGTGTGATGGGGAAGGCCCGGCCAGGCCCTGAGAGCTGGGATGAGGAAGATAGATGACAAAGTGAAAGGGGTTGCACATTCTAGGAG